AGCTCTGCTGAAACCCGTTCGGCCACAGAGCCGCCACACACCAGCCTCCACAGAGGTGTGCACTGATCTAAGCTCTCCTCCCGTGACTCCTGACGCAGTCAGAGTAAAGGCCAAGGTCCTTTCAAGGACTTGTACCATCTGGCTATTCAGCCCCTTGCTCTTCCCCTAGACCTTCTCCTCCAGCCCACTGACCTTGGTGTCCTTGGAAGGTCATCGCTTCCCCTGCTCCCTCTGCCCCATAGGTCTGTTCCAAGGTCACCTTCCCAGTGAAATCTCCCCTGGTCCCTTTATTTCAAATTACAGCCACACCCACACACGCACGCCCCTTTAAGTCAACCTTTCACCCTTTGGTGTTTGGGGATTTGTTTGTTTTTATTGTGGTAAAGTGAAGGTCCCTCCCCCCCAAAAAAAATTCCTCTGTGCAATCGTTCCTACAGGTACCATTCAGTGATGGTGATTGTGTACTTCAAGTCTTACATCCATGCTCGCTGTTTGCAGAACATCGCACCACCAGTCACATAAAGACAACACCCCCTTGTCCCTCACACATTTTACTTATTTGGTTTCCTGTCTGTGGTTTCTGACCAAAAATGGGTCCCCCCTGAGGGCAGGGATATTTGTCTTTTATGTTCCCTGCATCAACAGCCAGGAGCCCTGGTGGTGCACGGGTTTACACTTGGGCTGCCAACCACAAGGTCAGCAGTTCAAACCCACAAGGTGCTCTGTGTGAGAAAGAGGAGGCTTTCTGCTTTCCTTCAGAGTTACAGCCTCAGAAACCCGCAGGGGCCATTCTACTCTATGCTATAGGGTCCTGTCGGTGGGGTGAATTATTTAATGTGGTTCTTCTAGTCGTCTCTGTAACTCCCACCAAAGGACCTTCTCCCGATGGGTCTGTGTAAGACAAGGTGGGTGGTGGACAGGGCTCAACTGAGAGGGATTGTTTAGAACAGTTCATTGCGGTTGTCATCCAGCTAGGTATCAAATGAGCCATCGCAGACGCAGGAAACGGGTCTCACTGCCAGCAAGAGAAGCGGAGCAAGTCCTTTGCTCATTGAACCTTTGCTCCTTGAACCTCGTTGTTGGGGACAGCTGAGACATCAAAAGAGGAATAGCAGAACCCACAGCCAGAGCAGGAGGCAGAGCAGGGGCTTTCCCAGTCCACAAAACAAGTAAGGCTGAGCGCATTGGGGTAGGGGGCTGGCTTATGGAGTGGGCTGCCTCCAGGCACTTGAATTGGGGAGCTGGGGGCCACTGACCCATGCTTGGAACTGGAGCTGGGCTCCTTCTGGGGGATGCTTACAGCAGTATGGCACGTCCTTTGGGCCCAAGCAGGGCAGAGGCCACATGGAGCTGAGGGACAGAAAGGCATGCCAACAGAAAAAAAAAATTTTAAGAAAGGAAGGCATGTCTGTGGGCACAGCAGAGATGACACTGTCCTGAATGAACTGTATCCTGTTCACTTCCTTAACAACCCCATCTGTGAGTTTTATGTATCCATCGGAATGAATTATGTGAGTTTTGTGTATCCATCGGAATAATTATGGGAACCCAGCCACAGTCGTGGGACGGTGGGCACCAGAATATGATAAAGAGGGATGGAGTGGAGGCATAACTGACCTCAGCCTTGGGCGCCTGAAGAGGTCCGATGGGGCACCCACGAGTTTCTTCACACACTTTGAGTCAGAATCATATAGGCGCTCAGTCAATAATTTGTTGAATAGATGAGTGAAGCAGTCCCGAGTTTCGTAAATGACCTTGAGACACC